TCCTATCACTAGTTCCAGCTAGCAGCCTAGCAGTTCGAAAGCATGCAAATACAAGTAGATGAATAGGTACCACTTCAGTGGGAAGGTAAACAGCATTCTGTGCAATCATGCTGGCCATGACTTGACAACCTTATCAATAGGAAATACCTTTGCCCTTTACCTATGCATGCATTCCCTTATGAGTGCTCACTAAGCTCCATTCCAGGCAGTATATACAGAGATGACACGGAAGGCTTTTTAAAAAATATATGATATGTTCATGGAGAATATATTTGTCATTGGACAATTCTTAAGTGTGTATGCATGCTCTTTGTTTTGCCAGGGAACCATGATGTGCTGTTGGAAGCAGTGTTCATGAAGCCTCTTAAGGAGCTACACTCAGATTTCTCTAATTTCCAAATGATGATCGATGAAACTTTGGACATGAATACGGTAATGTATAAAAGCAGGATGCTGCTGCTTCAGTCTTTATAGATTATAACACTGCTGCTATGTGCACAGTTAATTTATATTTAAATTATTTAACCTGTGCTCACAGTGATAAATACTACAAAATAACTTAGCCAATGCCACATGCTAAATGAAATAATTGCCTTGGAAATGTAGGAGGAAAAAGGATATAAATTAAAGGTTTTTGGGGAGGGAATTTCAGACAATCCCATAGCAGAAAAGGCCCTGCAATAGGTGTCCATAAAACCATTTCCCTGCATAAACAAAATATGCATAGGGGACACTAAAGAAGAATGAGGGGAATGTAGTGTGCTGTTGTATTGGCCAGCTAGTTTGTCATGCCTATTTATCTCATATTGTTGATGCTTTTAAGCTTTTGTGAGCTCCCAAGTTGGGAGAAAGGCAGCATACAAATTAAATAATTAAATAGATTATAATATAGGGCTGAGGAGAAAATATCAGAAGCCACCAATCCTAAACTTTCCTCTCCAAGGCAATAATGTTAACATCCATGCACCCATGCACTTGGTGCAACACAGCACATCAAAAACCTGATATATTCAACTAGGTATATATGATTCAAACTAAGAGTAGTGGAAAACAGGAACAGAAACTACGGAATTTCAAGGAAAAAAAAGAGTTTACTTGTTGACAGGCTACCAGACTGTGACTGGACGCCCCTTCCCTGATAATCAACATCTTATATACCATCTTTTACAGCTAGTTTATAATTATATTAACACATGCATAATACAACATTTTCATTGGTTATAATATATAACTCCAAATCCCCTCCTTTCCCTATTAAATCAAAAGCAGCTTCATTTATGTACCACTTCATACTGTGCTATGAGGTGTCTAAGTGGTTTACAACTGTAAGCTCATGTAAGTTTATATTACACTTTTCTTGCTATGCATGAATGAATCTGGCTTTCTTCCTCTGGCTTAAAACTGTCAGCCTGCACTTTTGTATGTGCCTTGTTTTGTTCTACAAAATCTTGGTGCATGATGAAGCATGAAGGCATGTGGGAAGGGGAGAATTCTTACTGTAAAACTATATTGCATGTCAGAAATATTATGGAGAGACACATTGAAGGCAATGACAAACCTCTGAACAAATCTTGTCAAAAAACAAACAAACAAAAAAACTCATGATAGGTTTGCCTTAGGGTTGCCATAAATGGGAAATCACTTGAAGACACAGAGCATGCACGCACATTGAAGTAGATGTTTTCTTGAATTAAAGTCTTGAATATTTTGGATCTGCCAAGGGTATTGCATATCTCTCTGTTCACTTCCCTTCTCCTGTATCACTTTTGAAAAAGAGAAAAAAGACTATAGGAAACAGATTCCACCTCAACATTAGGAAGAAGAGCTGTTTGTCAGTGGAACACACTCCCTTGAAGTGTGGTGGAGTCTCTTTCTTTGGAGGCTTTTAAGCAGAGGCTGGATGGCCATCTGTCAGGGATGCTTTGATTGTGTCCTCCTGCAAGGCAAGGATTTGGACTGGATGGCCCTTGGGGGTCTCTTCCAACTCTATGATTCTATTAATGTGTGAGAAAGCTAGAATTTATTGTCTGATGTTGGCAAGGAGATGATTGAGTTTGTTCATTCAGTTGGAACATAGCAGTTGATAAAATTAGGACTCTTCACTCTTTAACAGGTAGCCTTCTCTGTTGTCTCTCCAAAGCTGGCACTCACTTTTGCTTCTTCACATAAATGGGTTGTTTACACCCTTTGGGCTCTGAAGAAAAACAACAACGAAGCCAACGTTTTTTAATGAAGTCTCATAAAACATGATGTACCAAGTTGCGCTAGCATTTTTGAATCCACAGTAGTTAATTAAAGTTGATTTTGAAGAGATAGCTTGAAATCACAGTGGTTGCTGAAATGGTGAACTTCCCACAGTATGAGAATCAAAATCTCATGGCTTGAGATTTTATCAGTTATGTTTAGTATTAAAACCTGTAAAAATCTATCATTCTCTTTAATAGAGGATGGTAAAGATGCTGCAAGTTGCTATGGCAACAAAATTATATTGTTAGCTTGTTCTAAGTAAACTACTTGCTTATGGACTCAGGTTTATTGAATTGCAGATATGCTGCATTATGTAACATACATTTATTGAACATATTTATATAGTGCCATAGGTATACAACACATTTTACAGAGTCAGCAATAAATAAGGGCAGTCCCTGATCCAGGGAACCTACAGTTTAAATTTTGAGAGGACTAGGAAAGAAAAGAAAGAAGAGAGATTACTTGTTTTCTTCTGAGATCTACCTCTTAGAAGCAGAGCTATTAAATTGAAAGGAGAGAAGAATGGCAGTAGAATTGAGAAAAAGGATTTCATTCAGGGGAGACTGCACTGGATCATTCCAGCCTTGCTGTTTCTCATGTATTGAATTGCAGTGTTGCAGAGTGTTGCAAGACTTTGCAATGTTGCAGAGTGCTTGAGTTCCGCAGCATAAAAGATAAACCAACATGGTATAAACCTGAAGTAAAAGTGAATATAAACCTGGGATGTGTGGCACTGGCATTTTAGAAATGTTGAATGCTGTTGGGACAGCTTATATAGTGTCAGGGGTTTCAAAGGTAGTGTGCATTTTGTGGGGCATTAACAGCTTTCGGGAATTAACTGTGCCAGTTGTTTATTTCTTGATCTATAACAGGGGTAGGCAACCTTTCTCCTTCAAGGGCCGAGGGACTTTCTCATAATAATATAAATTGATTCTGAGACTGGCAGATATTTTGACTAGCAGCATTTCCATTTACTATAAGGATGTGTATTGCTATCAGAAGAGGAGGAAGAAGAGGGTAGGCAGCATAGATGCACGGATCTAAATATGATTTTTTCCATTAGTCAGCAAAAGCTCTGAAAGGACCAGAGGTTGGAAAATTGCTTTTTGTATTATACCTCCCAGAATAATCCACACATTATTGCCATAGGTCCTGATGTCTGAGTGGTTCTGAGAGTTATAGTCCTGAAAAAGCAATTGATCTGGGTCTGAGAAAGCCACTAGTGAGTCTTTGGGCAGGCAGTCTTCTGTTGTTATGTAACAAACGGATGACGCTGCAATATATTATTTATCACATCATTTATTTATGTTATTAATGTGCAGTGTAGTTGATTGTTTTGGAAGAAAAGTTACAGTATGGGAAATAAACAAAGTGAATTAAAGTATTTCAATATCCAAATGATCAGATAAGACAGAGAGAGACCATCAGGTCACTGAGTCCTTATAGTTTTCTCTGACTGGCAACAACTGTCCAAGGTTGGGGTCTCATGTCCTGAAATACTTTTTACTGGCAATGGTAAGGATTGAGCCAAGTAGCATCTGCATGCAGAGCATGTTCCCTGCTGTGGAGCTAAAGTCCCAAAGGAGGAGGGAGGGATTCATGGAAGGAAGAGAAAAGAGAATTGATATGACCTGCATTCAGTTTAGATATGCCCCAAGAGAGAGGTGAAGAAAAGATCTCTACCTCCGTTAGCAATTGATTTCTTTTTTTAAGGAAACTTTGGCTTATGTGATGCTGTTTCTGGTCCTCTAAGCAAGCAGGATTTCCTCTGTAGGAGCTGACACTGCAGTCTGCTCACAAAGCTTCATCCCTCCTCCCTTCTTCCTGCAGGTTCTCAATGACTTTTCTTTGCTGCAGTGCAGGTTAGAATATAGTGTGAGGTTAGAATATAATACAGAGAGTACTTAAATCTTTGACAGGATTCCGTAATAATGTATAATCTGTCTGTCTGTCTGTGTCGCCCTAAAGCCTGGAAGAATTTTTAAAATAATATATCTATATCTATATATAGACATATTGGAAAAATCTTCCTAGATTTAAGAGTTAAGAAAAGGAGCAGACAAGCTGCAACCCCCCCCCCAAAAAAACCCCTCTTTTATAATGTCTTGACCAAAAAGCTTTTGATCAAAGTGAAGTTCTTTCTCTTCCTCATCTAATTTCCCTTTCTTAAAAAGCTGAGTCCATACAAAATCTATTTTCCCAATGCAGTGGCTGCTTCGAAAGTACATTTTGAGCGTAGACTTTGCCAAAAATGGAAGGAATTTTTATTTATTTATTGGATTTGTATCCTGACTTTCTCTTGAAAATGGACTGAAGGAGGTTAGTGTTAATATTTGATAAAAGTATAATTCATCCAAGACCAAAAATCAAAGCAACATCTAAGATTAAAATAGAAATAAAAGTTTTTAAAAAGTAAAAACGTAATGTAAAACCACATTATTAGAGAAAATGAAACCTCCAAAAATGGTAGTAAGCCCCTCCCCCCATTGCCTATCTGACATGAAGTTAAGGATTATATTTCCTAAAAGAAAATGCTGGGAGTGGATTTAGTGGAAGAATCTTTATTTTCTTACACAAACATGTGGATTTTTCAAAAGTTCAGAATTGCTCTATATGGCTGCATAAAGTAACCTGCCCATATGTGGTGGATTAAAGTGTTATCTAAAGGGATTCTAAATTATAGGCTGCGTCTTCACGGCAGAAATAATCCAGATTGACACCACTTTAACTGCCATGGCCCAGGGTTTACATGGCTGAGATGGGATTTGAACCCTCATCTCCAGAAGCAGAGTCCAATATTCAAACCACTACACCACACTGGCTTTTGATATTACTGGTAGTCATAGTTAAATCAGTAAAAGCAAAATAAAAGTGCCATGCATGATTTCTGCAAGACAGAGACTGCAGTTGATGTACTCAGTACTCTGAATAACATCAGAAAACTAGGTGTTAAATTTCCCATGGTATAGTGGGAAACGTAGTGGTGGACTACAACTCTGGAGACCATGGTTCGAATCCCAGCTCAGCAGTGTAAACCTATTGGGTGATCTTGGACAAATCACACACTCTCAGCTTTAGAGGATGACAGTGGCAAAATCCCTCTGAAGAAACTTGCCAAGAAAACCCATGATAGATCCCCCTTAGGGTTGTCATAAGTCAGAACTGACTTGAAGGCACACAACAGCAACAACTACATAGAGAGGCACTATATCAGGGTTATTTTGTTGTGTGCCTTCAAGTCAGTGCTGACTTATTGTGATCCAAAGGTGAACATATCATGGGGTTTTCTTGGCAAGATTTGTTCAAAGAGGGTTTGCCTTTGCCTTCCTCTGAGGCTGAGAGAGTGTGATATGCCCAAGGTCACCCAGTGGGTTTCCACGGTTAAGCAGGGATTTTGACCTCGGTCTCCAGAGTCATAGTGCAATGCTCAAATCACTTCACCATGTTGGCTCTCATATCAGGGTATTGAATGGATATGGTGTGCCTTAAAGACCCAGTCACTTGTTCGTCAGAGCTTTTCTACTTCCTTTTGTCATTTAGTAGTTCAGGGAACCCCACTGATGTTAGAGTATGCTATAAGAGGTCTTTTTGCCAATGATCCCTTTAAAATTTATTACCAAAAGCTATGCCAGGAATGCATTAGGCTGCAAAGTATTGCATTTGGTGTAACAGATGTTCTATCAATCTATGGAAAAGCGAAATGTAGTCTATAAAATGCTTTATCTCATTCTGATTAAAAACTACCTTTTTGGGGTGAGATGGTTGTAGTGCAGTGAATTTGAAAGATCTTAGTTTGAATCTGAGCCCCTCATAGTTTAAATTTAGATTTAGGGTGACTGGGGTATAACATTTATGAAATTCATCTCAATAATTTATTGAGGTGGGGCAGAGACATGGTGAGAATAATTTGTGAGTCTGAGCTAAATGTTTAACAAAGTCACACTCTAGAATCTTTCCTGGATTTTGTAACTTCAGCTTGCATGTAGGATTTTTTTAAAAAAATGCCCCCACATAAAGATGATCCCTACATTTAGGTGCTTCTAGATGAGGCTTTTATTGCGGGGAAATCCCTTCTTCATGCCCAGGATTTTGTGGGAGATCCAGATTTTTGTCACAGTCCATTATCTGCTCATTAATTGGTTCTTATCACAAGAAAATCCATTGAGGAGGAAAAGCTGGAATAACTGCACAATGCTATTTGATTGGTAGCACTAGAGGATGTTCATCTGAGAGTATTTGTATCCCAAAATGTCCAGTTTTCAAGATAGAGTGTAATGTGTCACAGGGCAGCCCACTCCTGCTTTCATGAGCAAACTTATGTGGAAGGTTTTTACTTAGCCCATTGATTTTATTGATATGATTGAGGTTTATGTGAGGGAGCATTCAGGAGCTGCACCATGTGTTTCACACCAAAAATGATAATCAGGTCTTAGGCTGTAAAATGCAAAATTCTATTAGCATGACAAATATTTCGCTAAATATTTGTTTGGCCAAATTAGTTAAAGTCTTCAAAAGAAATCTGTCACATGAGCTAACTGTGCTAAATGAGGTAGTTTTATTGAATTAGAATTGCTTTACTGTTGCAAGATAAATGTGATTGTAGATTTGTAGGGGCTGCTTTAAAACCCCCTATGGAATGTTTTTCTTTGTATCCCAGGTGGAGAGCCATGAATATCTTGTGAAATCTTCAATTGATCCAAACCTTGCTGAGCTAAGAGAGAATATGGACAAGTTAGAAGGAAAAATGCAGGGTGTGCTGAAGATTGCAGCCAAAGAGCTAAGTATGTTGAGAAAAGATTTTCTTTTTTTCACAGAGTGCTTTTTAAGTTGTTGTGTTTGCTTTGTAAAGTCACTTGTAATCAGCCTTTTGATGTTCAAGAAAACTTCATAGTCTCACAGCTTAAAATACAGCACTACACTTGTGTCATTTTTAAAAATCAGTTCTTGGAAATTTATTGAATTGTTTTTGACTACAAAAAGTAAAGGCAGCTGAGTTTGCTTGCAAGATCTTTTGCCACCACTTATAATCTTGAATAGCCGCAAGAGAGATATTGCCCATTGGCTGGGAATAACTGTCCGGCATGTCCGTAGAGCCCTGAGATGAGGAAAACTGCCCTATAATCATAGCTTGGAAAGTTACTTTTTAACAGAAGAGATTTACAGTCTCCCTCCCTCCCCTACATTTGTTCACAGATTTGATTAATATGTTCTCTATAGGAATCTCTAGGTCTTCCAGTGTGATTCTGTAGTCATCCTCCACCGGACCTAGAGTTTCTTAGAGAAGTATTCTCTAAAGTAAAAAAAAAAAAAA